ATCAGCTGGAACTCTTGCACTTGTGACACGACGGTCTTCGTGTCAACCATCTTGAATTCGAGAAATTTGCCGACGACGAATTTCTTCGCCCCGGCATCCTCCGTCTTGTACTTCTTCTCTAAGGCAGCCCAAAGTTCCTTGGCAGAACCAACAAAGCTGTACACATTGTACAACTCGTTACTAAGTCCATTCAGGACATAGTTCCGGCAAAGGTAGTCATCTTGCCCCCAAGCATCATACGCAGCGCGTAGTTCAGCATTTGTCTCATTTTCAGAAATGACCGGAGGGTCGTCCTTCAGGTATTTCACCAAACCCAAAGTGGTCTGGTAAAAATACATCTTCTGTTGCTATCTCTTAAAGTCAAGCCCGTTGAATTTTTCGGGCTTTTCAGCTGTAGGAAGATGGACAACAAGTACATGATTGATCGGATGCTGAGAGCTGGAACCTGCTCCGATGGATGCCATCAGTTCAGTAGGAATAAATATTCTTCTTGCGATTGTTGGATATTTGGTGTCAAAATTACACGGGAATCCTACGAACTGATATGTAATTTTCAGTTCTTACAAATAATCTAGAAATAGAAAATTACAATTGAACTGAAAAAATAAAATACAACTGAAAAAACGAAAAGATTTTAGCCGAGGCGAGTATAACTCTTTCCGCAAGAAGAATACGCCCTGTGTGTCTGCTAACGGTTCAGGCGTAACTTCCCCAAAGATACAACGACAATCGTCTCTAAATCTGTAGCACACCAGATTTACGAGCTCCGGCGAACAAGAACGGAGTCGAGAATTGAGCACTTAAAAATAAAAGGGATATCTTAAAACAAATAAAAATATCATTTGTTTCTATCTTTTGATATTTTTATATCCGATATTTGGACATAAATCTATCTTTTCTTTCCTTTCTCTTTCTTTCCTCTATTTTTCTCTTCTTCTTTTGTGCCTCTTTCTCTTCTGCCGAGCCCCTCTATTTATACTGAAAGCAGAGGCTAACAAATTGGCCAATTGACCAGTAAATAAATTATTTTATTATTATTATATTATTATTATTTTTTTTTTTAATAGATAGTGGACATATGGGGGGCGGTGCATGTGGGGCGGCACCACCCCAATTAGATATAGATTCTGACAAGTACAATATATATAATTGTAAAATTTTTAAAATTAACTATCCGGTTCAACAATTGACTCGTGACCCATTAGTTGAACAAGTGACACGGTGACCTGGAGACTTGCACAAGTAGATACGCGATGTGTAGATAATACACAATGTGTGCATATTTAGGACCTGGAGTGACCTGGAGTTTTTTGTATTATATAATTAATGCACATTTAGTTTATTTATTGTGCATATGTAGATAATACACAATGTGTGCATATTTTAGTTCTAAAAAAATGCATACTGAATTGAGAACATAAAAGACAGTACAAGACACTAGGATATTGTTGTAAATTACATACTTTGGCTACACCTTTAATTCATACGAAATGCACACTTAGTTCATACGAAGTGCATATTTAGTTCATAAACAATGTGTAATTAGTTGATACTATTGTTGCACATTTAATTCATTAATAATTATATATTTAGTGCTTATTAAATACATATTTAATTCATATCAGCTGTATATTTCTAGTGCAAATTTACTTCCTAAACAATGTATATAAGATTTGTAAAAAATGCCTATTTGGCATACATATTTTGTTCATTTCATATCAACTGCATATTTAGCATACATATTTAGTTCAAAACGTTCATTAAACTTTTTTATTATAATATTAATTTGATATAATATTTATCGAGATATAACAAATTTATAAAATAGATGCAGACAATCACTCATTTTTTTGAGATATATTCACATTTGAAATATTAATTTTAGTATTCTTAAGAAGTGATTAAGAAATTGAATTATAAAACCTCATTAATATATTTTGTACATTAATTTGATCTAATTGATAAAATAAATAATATCTTTAAAATTTAAAACAATTAATAAATGGATAAATGAATGAGGAATTTAAATTGGAAAATACTTTTAAATTGTGTGTGATATCAATAGATATATATATATATATATACCAATATTTTTTGTGTAACTGTGTATACCTTGAAATTAAGGATACACATATTTTTAAAAATTACCTTAAAATCAATATTAAGTTTATCCAATATTAGTTTAGTCCAACATTTAATTTTTAAAAATAACTTAATATGATCGTTTAGTTCAACATTTAATTTTAAAAAATAATCTTAATATATTTGCTTAATCTAACATTTAACATCAAAAAATAATTTTGATATTAATTTCTCTAACATTTAACTTTAAAAAATAATTTTAATATTACTTCCTCGCTCATCAACATAAACATTCTCTACTAACGACTCGTCCACTCTCTTGGAATAAATAAACGGTATAATTTATATTGAAAACTGGGATCAATGATGCAGATACCATATAGACATTTTCCACAGTAAACCCAGGCATCGACTTCTTATCCCCAGAACTATTATTACAACCAACATAAAAAACATATAGTGTTGCACAAAAACTCAAAGATCAACTGCTCATAAAAACAGATCAAAAGGCAGATAAATGTGCCAAGGCGCCTTCCGCCAACAAAAAACCTCGACGGGTTAAAAGAAACGAGCTAAAAAAAATTGAAAGGGACACAAGCATGTAATACTAGAATACAATTTTTGTTCAAGAAAAGCTCAATAAACTATGATGTCGGCACAACTGAGACCTACAGTGGTGCTAAACTGCTGTATATTTGCGCAATTCAGATTGTAACAACTCACAACCGGCATCACTTGAAGTTATGATCGAGGATATAATCCGCCTTTGACAATTCTTGAACTCAATCGCAAGCTTTACATCCCAACTAGCGCTTTCCCTATAAATGAAAATTTTCCGTCAGTATACGCA